ATACTAACACATATATATGGAATTTAGAAAGATGGTAACGATAACCCTATATGCAAAACAGAAAAAGAGACTCAGATGTATAGAACAGACTTGTGGACTCTGTGGGAGAAGGCGAGGGTGGGATGTTTCAAGAGAACAGCATCGAAACATGTATATTATCTAGGGTGAAACAGATCACCAGCCCAGGTTGGATGCATGAGATAAGTGCTCGGACCTAATGCACTGGGAGACCCAGAGGGATCGGGTCGAGAGGGAGGTGGGAGGGGGGATGGGGATGGGGAATACATGTAAATCCATGGCTGATTCATGTCAATGTATGACAAAACCCACTACAATATTGTAAAGTAATTAGCCTCCAACTAATAATAAAAAAAAAAGAAAAAAAATTTTATTTTCTTGGACTGCAAAATCACTGCAGATGGTGACTACAGCCATGAAATTGAAGGATGCTTTCTCTTTGGAAGGAAATCTATGAGAAACCTAGACAGCATATTAAAAAGCAGATACATCACTTTGCCAACAAAGGTCTATGTCGTCAAAGCTATGGTTTTTCCACCTGTCATGTACAGATGTGACAGTTGGATCATAAAGAAAGCTGAGTAATGAAGAATTGATGCTATTGAACTGTGGTGTTTTTGAAGATTCTTGAGAGTCCCTTGTACTGCAAGGAGATCAAATCAGTGAATCTTAGAGGAAATCAACCGTGAATATTCATTGGAAGGACCATTGCTGAAGCTCCAGTATTTTGGGCACTTGCTACAAAGAGCTGACTCACTGGAAAAGACCCCAATGCTAGGAAAGACCGAAGGCTATAGGAGAAGGGGGCATCAGAGGATTAGATTGATTAGATGGCATCATTGACTCAGTAGACATGAATTTGAGCAAACTCCAGGAGATAGTGGAGGTCAGAGGAGCCTGGCATGCTACAATCCATGGGGTCGCAAAGAGTTGAACATGGCTTAGCAACTGAGCAATGACCATCTTATTCAGATATTTTGCATTCTTTAAATTTAATTGTTCAGTTTCTTATATTTTAGTTTTAAAAGCTCTTTTTTATATTTTGGATGATAATACATTACCAGATATGTGTTTTGCAAATATTTTCTCCCAGTCCTTATTTTATCTTTTCATTTTCTTGACAGTGTCTTTCACAGAGCAGAAGTTTTGAATTTTAATGAAGTCTGACTTATTGATTCTTTCTTTCCTGGTTTATAATTTTGGAGTTGTGTCAAAAAATTCATTGCTGAAACAAATATCATCTTGGTTTTCTCCTATGTCATCCTCTAGATATTTTATAGTTTTGTATTTTACAGTTAGATGTATGGTCTACTTTGAGTTTATTTTTGTGACGGGTGCAAGGTCTGTGTCTAGATTTACTTTCTTGTATATGAATATTTTGTTGGTCCAGCACCATTTGTGAAAACACTGTCTTTTCTCCACTGTGTTGCATTTGGCTCGCTGTTCTTCTTAATTGATCTATTTATATCTTCATTCACCAGTACTACACTATCCTGATTACTGTAGCTATATTGTAAGTCTTGAAGTCAGATAGTGTCACTCTTCCAACTTTGTTCTCCTTCCATTTTGAGTTGGCTACTCTAGGTCTTTTGCCCCTCCACGTCAACTTTAACATTAGTTTGTCAGTATCCATAAATAACTTGTTGGGATTTGGGGGCGGATTGCATTGAATCTATAAATCGAGCTGGAAAGAATTGAAACTTGATGATATTGTGTCTTCCTATTGATGAACATTGGAATCACTCCTATTTCTTTGATTTCCTTTGTCAGTGTTTTATAATTTTTATATGGATATTATACATAGTTTATTAGGTTTATACCCAAGTATTTCATTTTGGGGGTGCTAATATATGAAGATGGTATTGTGTTTTTAATATCAAGTGACACTTGATCATTGTTGGTATATATAGGAGACTTGACTTTTGTTTATTAACCTTGTATCCTGGAACCTTGCTGTAATTGCTTATTACTTTGAAGTTTTCTGCAGAGACAGTCATGTCATTTGGGAGTAAAAAGACAGTTATACTTATTCATTCTTAATCTGTAAACCTTTTTTTTTTGTAGACTTTCTTCATTTTAATAGGCAAAACTTGACCAATAAACAACACATAGTATTACAAATAAAATACTACTGAAAGCAAAGTTGCTCAGTTGTGCCCGACTCTTTGCAACCCCATGGACTGTAGCCTACCAATCTCCTCCATCCATGGAATTTTCCAGGCAAGAGTACTGGAGTGGGTTGCCATTTCCTTCTCCATCTGTAAACCTTTTATTTCCTTTTTTTTTTTTTTTTTTTTGACTCATTGTATTAGCTAGGACTTTCAGTATAATTTAGAAAAGGAGTGATAAGAAGTGACATCCTTGTTCCTAATCTCAGCTAGAAAGCATCTAGTTTCTTAACATTAAGTATATTGTTAGCTGTAGGTGTTTTGTAAATGTTCTCTGTCAAGTTAAGGAACTTCCCCTCTATCTTACTTTGCTGAGAGTTTCTATCATGAATTGGTATTTGATTTTCTCAAATTCCTTTTTTGCATTTACTGATACGATCATGCACTTTTTCTTGTTTAGCTTCTTCATGTGATTAATTGATTTTCAAATGTTGAACCAGCTCTGCATACCCAAAATGAATCTTATTTTGTCATGATATATAATTCTTTTTATATGTTGGTATTTTCAATTTGCAGATATTTTGTTGAAGCTTTCTGCAACTGTGTTCATGAGAAATGTGTGGTGGTGGCTTAGTCGCTAAGTCATGTCTGACTCTTGTGACCCCATTGACTGTAGCCTGCCAGGCTCCTCTATCCATGGGATTGTCTAGGCAAGAATACTGGAGTGGGTTGCCGTTTCCTACTCCAGGGGATCTTTCCAACCCCAGGATCGAACCCGGGTCTCCTGCATTGCATGTAGATTCTTACCAACTGAGCTACAAGGGAAGCTCAGTGATATATAGTTTTATTGTAATGTTTTTGGGTTTTTTTTCCTGGTTTTAGAATTAGGGTAATGCTGGCTTTATGGAATGAGTCAGGAAGTATTTCTTGTGCTTCAGTCTTACAGAAGAGATTATAGAGGATGTTTTAATTTTGTCCTTCAATATTTGGTAAGATTCACCAGTGAACCCTTTGGAACCTGATACTTTCTATTTTGGAAGATTTATTAATTGTTGATTCAAATTCTTTAATAGATATAGGTCTATTCACATTGTCTGTTTCTTGGTGAATTTTATCAGATTATGTCCTTCAAGAGACTGATTGATTTTATCTAGATTATCAAATTTGTGGACATAGACTTATGCATAGTATTCATTTATTTTTTTTAATGTCTAGAGTAATGTGTCATTTTTCATTTTTTATGTTAATAATCTGTATCTTTTATTTTTAGTTTGGCTAGAAGCTTGTTGACTTTAGTGTTCTTTTTGAAGAACTAGCTTAAGATTTTGTTGCTTTTCTCTATTGATTTCCTATTAAAGATTTCATTGACTTCTGATCTAATTTTATTATTTCTTTTCCTCTGCTTACTTCGGATTTAATTTGCTCTTCTTGTCCTAGTTTCCTAAAACTTAGGTTATTTATTTTAGATTTTCTTCTTTTCTAATATATGAATTCACTGCTATAAAATTTTCTCTGAGCACTGCTTTTGCTGAATCCCACAAATGTTGTTATATTTTCATTTAGTTAAAAATATTTGAAAATTTCTTTTGAGATTCTTAGAAGTGTCTTGTTTAATCTCCAAGTATTTTGGGATTTTCCAGCTATTTTTCTGTAATTGCCTTTTAGTTTAATTTTACTGTGGTCTATGAACTCTATTCTTTTAAATAAATTAAAATGTATTTTATAGCCCAGAATGTGGTCTGTCTTAATGAACAAAGTCTATTTTTCATTGTACTGAATTGAAGTCTTAGATTAATGATGATATTTTAAAATAATTCTATTTTCCATCCATGGTAGATACTGAGTACTTCTATCTTCAACTTATGATTTGCTGTAATGACACAAAACTTTTCATATCAGTGCTCTGTTCCTATGGATGCCAACTTAGGTCTCAGAATGTGTGGCATCTCTGGAAAAATCTAGGCTGTCTTCTTAAAAAGCATGTGCACATTAGTGAAAGTATGCTAATGTCATGAATCTGTGATTGATTTTAAAAATAATGGCTGAAGAGATGTATCTGAAAATTTTTTGTAAATCGAAAAACTTTGAACATTCTTGAAAGATTTATAAATAATAAATTTACCTTATACTTTTGAGATGTAACAGTGTTTTTTTCTATCTGATTTAGTTTTGTCAGCCTGGCGGATGGCAGCTGTCCAGAGAGAGGAAGCAGCCGACGTTTTTTGTGGTCGTCCTGACAGATATTGACTCGGATCGGCATTACTGCTCGTGCTTAACCTTTCACGAGGCAGAGATCAATCTGCAGGTGCAGTAACTTTTCTAGCCAAATTATAGCCCAAGGGCACCTTTTTAGGAATCTTTTTATTATGCTATATTTGTTTTTGTTAGAACTGCAAGTTTGAGTTCTGTGCTCTCCTTTAAAAAGGCTGAGGTACTGTATTGTTGAAGAGAGCAAAAAGGTAAAGTAATTGTGCAAGATTAATTGTTCTTTAAAATATTATTCATAGTCTGCATATTTCTAAGAATAGCACATCTGCAAATTGGTTGATAAGATGATTTGTATCTGCTCATGGTGAAGCTGTGGTTTGTCCCTTTTAGTCCTTCTCCTGAAGTAGCTTTCACAGAATATAGAGCATTTAATCAGAATGTTTATAAATCTCTTATCACAATGCCTGATATTATTTTTTAAGCACTGAAGTAACTGTTAACTCATTATTATTGGTGGTGATATTATCAAAATGATGGTACTGAAATTATTAGGCTAGAACTATAGAAATTAAAAGTACTGATCTTTCAGAGTATTAGTTGGGATTCTCTCTGTTTCAGATAACTAAATACTGCCTCTAATTTATTCAGAAAAGAGATTATGAGAAAGTATTGCTCCTTTGTGGAGCATTTTCCAGGAAAAAATACTGGAGTGAGTTGCCATTTCCTTCTCCAGGGGATCTTCCTGACTCAGGGATTGAACCCAGGTCTCCAGCATCATGAGCAGATTCTGTACTGTCTGAACCACCACTATAACCTTCATAATAATTGCACTAAAAAAAAAAAATCCTTTGTCTCACATGTAGCCACTGTCACATTGGTGACTTCTGCTTTAAGTGTCATATGGGTTGTTCCCTTGTGTAAGCCAGATTGCATACAGATTCTCCCCCTCCAACTCCCTGCAAAGGAATCAGAAAAAATTTTTTGTTGTTATTTGTTAATTTGTTGTGCACAAATTAAGTCTCTATAGTATGAGAAGGAAACTAAAAATTTGCAGGATGTTGAGGGAGCCAATTTGCATTATTTGCTGTGCTTTCTGAAGTGGCCTCACAAAGGAGCATTTGTTACTTTTGCTATTTTAATTAAATGCCATGGTCTGGATGTTCTTGATGCAGAAATTTCATTTTTCTCTACAAGAGTAAACAAACCAACTTTCATGGTACTGACTCACATTATCCAAGTTCATTAGAGCAATGTATTAAAACTAGTATGCTGGTTTTTAATTTACAGTGATGTTAAAAGTTTGCATAGAACAAAATATATGTTATCTATATTATTAGCTCACTTTCTCCTTATTGTCAGATCTTTGTGGGAAGCCATGTCAAAATCAGATTCATTGTGATTGTGGAATCAAACAAAGGAATTTTTCATGTCAGAGATTTAATACCGGCCAGATTAACACAGCCAATTGTTTGTGTAATTGACCCTTAAGTAACATGGGCTTAAACTGCACAGGTCCACTTATACATGGATTTTTCTTTCAGTAAGTATATACTTACTGTAAGTATATACTGTATATACTGTAGTATATACTCAATCCATGGTTGGTTGAATATGTGGATGCAGAACACCAACTGTGAAGGTAACATGTGGATTTTCAACTGCACAGAGAAATCGGCATCTCTGAATCTTGCATTGTTCAGGGTCAACTATTTTTTAAATTAAGAATTATCTGTATAGTCAAGTCTATAGTTTTTCCAGTAGTCATGTACAGATGTGAGAATTGGACCATAAAGAAGGCTGAGTGCTTTCAAACTGAAGTGTTGGAAAAGACTCTTGAGAGTCCCTTGGATAGCAAGAAGATCAAACCAGTCAATCCTGAAGGAAATCAACCCTGAATATTCATTGGAATATGGATGCTGAAGCTGAAGCTCCAGTACTTTGGCCACCTGATTCGAAGAGCTGACTCATTGGAAAAGATCCTGATGCTGGGGAAGATTAAAGGCAGGCGGAAAAGGGGTCAACAGAGGATGAGATTGTTGGATGGCATCATTGACTCAATGGACATAAGGTCTAGCAAACTCCAGGAGATAGTGAAGCAAAGGGAAGCCTGGCATATTGCAGTCCATAGGGTCACAAAGAGTCAGACACGACTGAGCAGCTAAACAACAGCAGCAGCAACATGTTGTCAGTGCAGACAGGAAACTTAAAATGTCTGTGATTCTAACCATTTCTGTCCTAGATAGCATTCGAGTGGGAGCTAATTCAGTTCCCATTTTGATCAGTTCATTTTGATGAGAAAGAATGTTCTTTAGTTGAGAGCCTCACTGTCTCTTTCAAGGGACCTTTCATTTCTCTGTTGCTCTTTTGAATATGAGTTAGTTCTGAGAATGCAATATTTTCTTTTATTTCCATATTCCTGAGGGATCCTCTATACAACTTCCTAGAATTATCTAATAAAACTGATTATTTTTGTTCTTCCTTCCTCCATTATTATCAACCCCTTTCACCTTGAATTAACTCACAGACAGGTAATACATTAAGACAGTGTAACAGGATTCCAGTTCAAGATGGCAGGCAACCCACTCCTGTGGACAAACTGAATCCTCGGCTACACACAGAGCAGTTTCTGCTGAAAGAGGTCCAGAAACTAGCTGAGCAATAACTGTATATCAGGCTGATGAGAATATACCCACACTGAAGAGAGTAAAAAAGGCTGAGAGGCAGTCTCACCATAAACCCCATCCCTGGCACAGAGACATGCAATCGGGAAGGAACTTGCAACTCCAAGCTCCTCCCCTGACGTGCCAAGAGTTTGGACCCAACATTTACCTCCCATTTTTTTAGCCTTCCATCTGAGGTATGGACCCCAAAAACACCAGCTCTGGAAGACAGTGGGGCTTTTTGTTCATGAGACCCACCAGAGTATAACAGAGAGTTATTAATGGGTTTTCAAGGATTTGCTGAGGCTCAGCATGGAGGAAACAAAGAGGAACTCATCTCTCAGTCTTTGCTTGAAAAAATCCTGTGTGCATACTTTAAAAGCTACTGCCTGAGGGTTAGGACTTATGAGATAACATCAAGCAAACCAACATTTGCATTATATAGGGATCCTAGGAGAAGAAAGAGTGAAAGGGGAAGAAAGCTTATAAGAAGAAATAATGGGTGAAAACTTTCCTAACCTGTGAAGAGAAACAGACATTCAGATCTAGAAGCCCAGAGATTTTCAAATACAATAAATCCAAAGAGACCCAACACCAAGGTACATTATAATTAGTGTCAAAGACAAAGAAAAAATCTTAAAAGCAGCAAGATAAAAATAACTTGTTCATAAAAGGGAACCCCGATAAGAATATGAACAGATTTCTTCAGCAGAAACTTTGCAGACCAGAGAGAAGTGGCAAGATTTATTTAAATTCCTGAGGAAAAAAACTGCCAACCAAGAAGATTTCACCTGGCAAGTTGTCCTTCAGAATTGAAGGAAAGTTTTGCAGACTAGCAAAAGCTAAAGAAACTAATCACCGCTAAACTGGCCTTGTAGGAAAGGTTAAAGGAATTTCTTTAATCTGAAATGAAAAGGTGCTAATTAGTAATAGGAAAACATGTGAAAGTATAAATCTCACTTGTAATGGTAAATGTTATATGTAGTAAAATAAAGATGAAGAATTATGAAACTTCGAGGAAACAGCTAACAAAAGGACAGTAGTAAATACATAATAATCAATAATTACTTTAAATGTAAAATGACTAAATTTTCCAAACATGTAGAGTAGCTGAATGGATTTTAGCAACACACACACACACCCACACACACACACAAAACAGACCGATCTGAAACAAAACTCACTTCACTTTTAAAGACATACATTGGCTGAAAATGAAGGGGAGAAAAAGATACCTCATGCAAATGGAAATCAAAAGAAAGCTGGGGTAGCTATACTTAATATAAGAAAAGAATGAGCAAAAACTGTAACAAGAGACAAGGAAGGTCATTGTATAATGATAAAAATAGGTCATCAGGAGAGATAATATTTATAAATATTTATGTATCTGTTGATATTATTAGAGCGCCTAAATGAGTAAAGCAAATCTGAAGATAAAAATTGATGACAATACAATAGTAGTAGAAGATTTAAGTACCCCATATTCAACAGTGGAGAGATCATTCAAACAGAATATCAATAAGGAAAACTGGACTTGAAACAGTATGTTACACGAGATGCACTTAACAGACATTATGTGGGTGTTCAGTCAGTCAGTCCTGTCTGATTCTTTGCAACCCCATGAACTATATTCCACCAGGCTTCTCTGTCTATGGGATTTTCTGGGCAAGAATACTGGAGCAAGTGGCCGTATCCTACTCCAGGGATTTTCCCCATCCAGGGACCGAACCCTCAGCTCTCGTGCCTCCTGCATTGGCGGCAGATTCTTTACCACTGCACCACCTGGGAAGCACCAACAGACATATGGAGAACCTTTCATACAGTAGCAGCTGAATACACATACTTCTCAAGCATACATGGAACATTCTCTAGGATAGATAATGTGGTAGACCACAAATCAAGTCAATACATTTAAGATTAAAATCATATTAAGCTTCTTTTCAACCACAGAAGTGTAGAATTAGAAGTCAGTTACAAGAAGAGGACTAGAAAATTTACAGCTGTGTGGAGGTTAAATAATACAATACTGAGTGGGTCAAAGAATACACTCAAGAAGGATTTTAAAAACCTTGAGACAAATGGAAATGAAGATACAACATACCAAAATTTATTGACTAAACCAAAAGGGGGAATATTTACAGTGATTATAGTAATTAACACCTACATTAAGAAAAGAGCAAAACCTCAAATAAGCAAATTAAGTTTATACTGTAAGGAGCTAGAAGACAATGAAACTAAGCCCGAAATTAATAGAATGAAGGAAATAACAAAGATCAGAGTGGAAATAAATGAAACAGTAAGCTCTTTAAAAAAAGTAAACACTTGGGGATAAACTCCTTAACAAAGGTCTTGCCAGTGACTTGGATTTTTTTGTTGTTGCTTAGCAGAAGTAAGGAATCACTGGGGAAATGGAAATCAATAACATAATAAAATATCA